CTCTACCACTGACCTATAACCTCAGCCCAGGGGTCATGTCTTTGAAGAAATAAGTACCTACAGAATAATTCAAGTTGGGTTCAAATTTGAATGTGATTTGAAGAGGCAAAGCAAAATGGGACACAAAGTCTCTTCCATAATTGCATTGTTTAAGCTCAGTGTTTAAAACATATTGATCAAAGATCAAAAATTAAAATTACTTAGCATGCATAAGACCCAGAGTTTGGTGCCCAGCACTACAAAAGCAAACAACAATAAGAAATCAGCTAGAAGAATAAATGGAACTTGTGTTTTTCAAATCATCCTACTTACTTACATGTTTTCTTCAGTTTGAATTTTTGGTACAAGTTGAGTTAAATTATATTAATGTTCTATGGCAGCATCTTGTATTTCTCACTCATATTTGTAGTTTTCTACATTTTTTATTAATTTAATTAGGTATATATGACTGCAGAATGCATTTTGATTCATTGTACACAATTGCAGCACAACTTTTCATTTCTCTGGTTGTACACAATTAGTGTCGAACCATATGTGCAGTCATACATGTACCTAGGGTAATGATGTCCATCTCATTCCATCATTTTTCCTGCCCCTATTCCCCCTCACCTCTCCACCCCTCCCTCCCCTTTGCCCAAAGTTGTCCCCCCTACCCTAAGGATCAGCATCCACTTATTTGATAGAACATTCAGCCTTTGGTTTTGGGGGATTGGCTTACTTCACTTAGCATGATATTCTCCAACTCCATCCACTTACCTGCAAATGCCAAATTTTATTCTCTTTTAAGATATATACCACAGTTTCTTTATCCATTCATCTATTGAAGGGAATCTAGGTTGCTTCCACAGTTTAGCTATTGTGAATTGAGCTGCTATAAACATTGATGTGGCTGTGTCACTATAGTATGCTGATTTGAAGTCCTTTGGGTATAGATCAAGGAGTGGGATACCTGGGTCAAATGGTGGTTCCATTCCAAGGAGTCTTGGAATTCCTAAGGAATTTCTAAGGAATCTCCATACTGCTTTCCAGATTGGTTGTACAAATTTGCAATCCTACCAGCAATGTATGAGTGTGCTTTCCCCCCCACATCCTCGTCAACATTTATTGTTGTCTATATTTAAAAAATTTTTTTTTATAATTGTAGATTATATGCTTTTATTTTATTTGTTTTTATGTAGTGCTGAGGATCGAACCCAGTGCCTCATGCACGCTAGAGAAGTGCTCTGCCATTGAGCTACAGCCCCAGCCCAGTTGTCTGTATTCTTGATAACTGTCATTCTAACTGGTGTGAGGTAG